ACAGGGTATAAATCTTTAACAAAGATATTCTAAAATAAACTTAAAGAAAGTTAGTATCCTCTTTCATTTGAGCTTTATCTCCCATTGCTTTTTTACCCACCTGTGGTCATTCTCTTCCTCTATTTAGGAAAGAGAATACCACCGATAGGGCACAACTTGTCTTAATATTAAACACTTTCATGTTTATCTGTTCTGTTGTGAAATGCAGGTAAAATGATAGAAGATTACTGGGGAAGTTCTAAAAAGGTCCTGGGAGATCTGAAATTCCTTGAGGGTTTGAAGACATATGACAAAGATAACATTCCTGCCGTAGTAATGAAGAGAATCCGAGAGAGGTTTATCAACCACCCCGATTTCCAGCCCGCCGTCATCAAAAATGTCTCTTCGGCCTGCGAAGGCTTATGTAAGTGGGTGAGAGCCATGGAGGTCTACGACCGTGTCGCCAAGGTCGTTGCCCCCAAGAGGGAACGCCTCCGAGAGGCGGAGGGCTTGCTCGACATCCAGATGCAGAAACTCAACACGAAGCGCGCGGAGCTCAAGACCCTGATGGACCGTCTCCAAGCTCTGAACGACGAGTTTGAAGAGATGAATAACCGGAAGAAAGAGCTGGAGGACAACATTGAGATATGCTCCCAGAAGCTGATCCGAGCCGAGAAACTGATCAGCGGATTAGGGGGCGAAAAGGAGAGGTGGACGGAAGCCGCCCGCCTGCTGGGAATCCGCTACACCGATCTGACAGGAGACGTCTTGTTGTCTTCGGGGACGGTGGCTTATCTGGGGGCCTTCACTGTGGATTACCGTCTGGAAAGTCAGCAGAAGTGGCTGGCCTTATGCAAGGAGAAGAATATCCCTTGCTCAAACGATTTCAGCCTGAGTAATACTTTAGGGGATCCCGTCAAGACCCGTGCCTGGCAGATTGCAGGGTTGCCCATCGATTCCTTCTCGATCGACAACGGCATCATTGTGTCCAACTCGCGACGATGGGCGCTCATGATCGACCCTCAAGGACAAGCCAACAAGTGGGTCAAGAACATGGAAAAGGGCAACAAACTCTCGGTCATCAAGTTATCCGACACCAACTACGTCAGGTCGTTGGAGAACGCCATCCAGTTTGGAACGCCGGTCCTCCTTGAAAATATTGGCGAGGAGCTGGACGCTTTCCTGGAGCCTGTTCTGCTAAAGACAACGTTCAAGCAGCAGGGAGTTGAGTACATGAGACTGGGGGAGAACATCATCGAGTTCTCCAAAGACTTCAGGTTTTACATCACCACCCGTTTGAGGAACCCTCACTACCTCCCTGAAGTGGCGGTCAAGGTTTGCCTGCTCAATTTTATGATTACACCTCTGGGACTCCAGGACCAGCTCCTTGGGATCGTGGCCGCCAAAGAAAAACCAGAACTGGAAGAGAAGAAGAACAAGCTGATCATCGAGAGTGCGGCGAACAAGAAGCAGCTGAAGGAAATTGAAGACAAGATCCTGGAGGTCCTCTCCAAGTCGGAAGGAAACATCTTGGAAGATGAGACGGCCATCAAAGTTCTCTCCTCTTCCAAACAACTGTCAGAAGAAATCTCTGAGAAGCAAGAAATCGCCAGTATGACGGAGATCGAGATCGACGCTACGCGGATGGGATACAAGCCTGTGGCAGTCCATTCCGCAACCGTCTTCTTCTGCATTTCTGACCTGGCGCACATCGAGCCGATGTACCAGTATTCCTTGGTATGGTTCATTAACCTCTACGTCCAGTCGCTCGCCAACAGTAGGAAAAGCGAAATTTTGGAGAACCGAATCGAAAACATCATCGACCACTTCACCATAAGCATCTACAATAACGTCTGCCGGTCCTTGTTTGAAAAGGACAAGTTGCTTTTCTCCCTCCTTCTGTCCATTGGGATTTTGAAAGGGAAGAACGAAATCGATGATGAAGTTTGGCGTTTTTTGTTGACCGGAGGGGTGGCCTTGGAGAACCCCTACCCCAACCCCGCCTCTGAGTGGCTGGGCGAGAAAGCTTGGGCCGAGATTGTCCGCGCTTCGGGCCTCAAAAACCTTACTGGCTTGATGGATCACTTGGAGTCTCACGTCATGGAGTGGAAAAGAATTTATGATTCGGCTAAACCTCACGAAGAAGAGTTCCCCGGTGGGTGGCATAAACTGGCGGGTCTTGACCGCATGGTGGTGCTCCGGTGTTTGCGACCTGACAAAATTATCCCAGCCACCCAGCTGTTCATCATGGACAAAATGGGGAGGACCTTCATTGAACCTCCAACCTTCGATCTCGCTGGAAGTTACAATGACTCCAACTGCTGCGCCCCCCTGATTTTTGTCCTGTCCCCGGGGGCTGATCCCATGGCAGGTGAGATTGGAATTCACTTCAATTCAATTCTGGTTGGATTTGGGTTGGTGGCAAGGAAGGAAACTAGGCTCTCCATCCCAAAAGCTGTCTCTGTTAAATGTCTGTGGAGGTTCTCAGCTTCTTGCTCCCCAAATTTATAGGGAGCTAAGCTAAGCGGGTCCCCCCCAATGGGATTTTCCCATGTATTTTGCCATGGGAGGTAGGTAGATTGAGCTGGAAAAGCATCCTCCTAACCATAACAATGCACTTCAAATCCGTTGGCAATGTCCATTTTGCTCCCCAAATTCAAGGGGAGCTAACCCTAACTCTAAGTGGTTTTTTCCCCCAATGGGATTTTCCCATGAATTTTGCCCGGGAACAAAGAGAGGGCAGGCTCGAAAAGTCAGCAACCTCCTAACCATGACAATGCACTCCGAATCCATTGGCGATGTCCATGGCCAATGGTAGAAGAGGCCACTGGGTCATCAACCTTTGGAAGTTCACACATTCTTATTGATGGGGATGGCATGCACACTTCTTTTGGAAAAAAAAAGACCTTTATGGAATATAATAGAATAATAGCATTGGACCTTGTAGGTCATTGATTCTAGCCCAACCCCTTGCTTAAACAGGAGCCCCTACACCATTTCTGACAGGTGGGAGTCCAGTCTCTTCTTGAAAGCTTCCAGAGGTGAAGCTCCCACAACTTCTGAAGACAAGTCATTCCACTGTTAGGAAATTTCTCCTTACTTCTAGGTGGCTTTCCTCCTTGGTTAGCTTCCATCCATTGTTTCTTGTCTTCTTGACAGAGCCGAGGTGGCACAGTGGTTAGAGTGCAGTACTGCAGGCCACTTCAGCTGACTGCTAGCTGCAGTTCGGCGGTTCAAATCTCACCGGC